GGTGCAGTGTCCTTTCTCTGGCCACAGGCAGCTTTTCAAGGCCCTGCGTACGTGGCCGTCACCAGGGACCCAGAGCGTCTGAATGACAGACAGCCTGATCACCCTGACCAACGGACAGCCTAAGACGCTGCCACATTGACTAGCTGAGCTGCCCGGCTCGGGGCTGAGGGCATGGGCCACGTTTAAACATGAGCCTGGTGCAGACATGTCGACGGAGGAGCCTTGGACATCAGTGACTCCAACCCCTCAATCCACAGGGAGCATAGAGGCCCAGAGAGAGCAGGGCACTTGCCTAGGGCCACAGAGCATTTAGGAACAGGGGTGTGGTGAGAACCAAGAGTCCAAAATGCAAGCACTGAGTGCAAGGGTGGGGGACAACCAAAGTCCTGTGGTGGTATCTGGCCTGTCCCAACCTACTAGAAACAGGACCCGCTCCGGCCAGCCCCAGGTTCCTGGTGGGCTTCTCTCCTGTTTAACAGGGAAGCCGTCTGGCTATGGGTGGGGATGTGGAGGGACAGAGAATGGCCAGGGCTCCCTTCCCTGGCATTTTGGGGCCCATCGGCCTGGCTGCCTGGTACCCCCAGGCTGGGAGGTGGCAGAGGGGACAGGCAGGATACCTGTGCCCGAGCTCGTGGGCCACGGTGAAGGCCAGGGGCAGGCCGGTGTCCTCGTTGATATTGCAGCTGCGGTGTGGCTGGCACATGCCCGCCACATGGGACAGGCCCAGGGTCTCGCAGGGCTGGTTCATGGATGCACACAGGTCCTTCCTACACACAGAGAGAAGTAGCCCTCAGGCTGCCGTGGCCCCGTGCCAGGCCCACCTGAGTGGAGGGAGCGAGAAGGAAGCCCGCCCACTGCTCCGAGACGTCAGGTCAGGCCAGCAGAGCAGCCGTTGGAGAGGGAGCTGCCCTAGTTCCCACAGGCCCCACCGCACACTCTTTGGGCCTTGGGGACGGAGTCTGCACAGGTCTGCCGGAGCCCAGCAGACGGAAAATGATTCCCCAGAGTTCAAACACAGCCTCGGAACAGACTCGCGGCTGTGCCCGTGCCATAAAACTGCGCAGAACCAGGCACACCCGCGTGCGTGTAAAGCTGGTAACGTCCGAGTGTGTCCTGTGCTCGTGTCAGTGCCCATCCCGGGCTGTGAGGTCACACGACGGCAATGCCAGATGTCACCTTGGGGAACTGGATGAGGGTACAGCGTCTATCTATAGGATTTCTGACAACTGCGTGGGAACCCACACTCATCTCGTAGCACAAAGACCTCCGAGCGCTGAGGGACCTGTTGGGAGAGCAGGGCCGGGCTGCTCCCTGAGGGTCAGGCCCTCCCCACCGGTGGCACCTGGTCAGCAGAATGGCTGTGTCGTGATGCAGCGGGTGGCTGTCCCCCTTCATGTTGATGCTTTTCTGCCACTTGCAGAAGCTCCTCAGGGTGTTGTCCGCATGGTGTGTGATCTTTAGGTCCTCCTGGGGGCGAGAGCGCGGCCACTCAGGACTGCCCTGAGCTCGGAGGCAGGAGACAGACGCGAGGGTGGGGGGACAGCAGCCAGTCTGTGGGCCCCAGTGCCACCTCCAGCCTGACCACTCCTTCCTCCCACAGGCACCTCCTAGGAGCTGCGAGACGGGCAGCAGGGACTGGGGGTGACAGGTGACACCACCTGGGCCATGGGGCAGCTCAGGTAACAGGGCAGGGACTCTGGCAGCCGGTGCCTTCCCCATCTAGGTGCAGTGTGGGCACGTGACGGCTCACCTCCTCATCTTCCAGCAGGATCAGGCGCACGATGGTGATGTGGACGGGGTTCCCGATGCTGGGGTCGTGAAAAAGGCCGGCCACCTGCAGGAGAGGAGCCGGCTGTCACCCTGGACCTAGGGCACAAGCAGCCACTGCCCACCCCCACCCCCACCCCGCACCCATGTTCACGTTCAGGGGAGCTCCGAGCACACTCAGGCTGCACACACGGCAGTGCACGCATGTGCACCCACATGTGGAAGTGCCCACACCCTTCCCCCACCTAAACGAGGGGCTCCCCACTCAGCCCCAGGAGAGTTCACCCCAGAGAAGCAGAGTGCACAGAACGGGGCAGGGAAGTCATCTGCTCTTTTAAAGCTCTTAGAACAAGGCCAGCCCACACGTGGGGACAGGTGTCAGGTTCCCGGGGGCAGGGATGGCGGGACAGGCCAGTTGTGAGTTGGCTGCTAGCAATCCCGTCAAGAAAAACAATATTCAAATAGGAATGAACAAAACGCTCTTGAGGGCACAAAAGCCCCTGATAATGGGGATGCATTAGTTTCATAACCCAAGGCAGTCAGCACCGGTGGGGACAGTGACGCAGGGTGACTCCGTCCACCTCCACGCCAGCTGGGAGCCTGGAGCCCCTGCTTGCCTTTCTCCTCACGTCCAGCCAGGCCTGCCTCCTGAGTGTGGCCTGGACCTGCCTCTTCTCTCCCTCTCAGCTGCCACCACCCAGCGCAAGGCGGCAGCATCTGCCTGGCTGGCTGTTGGTCTCCCAATAGGTGTCCTCACTTCTCCATGGCCCTGCGGCCCACCCACGGCCTAGCAGCTGTTTTCTGTCATTGAAATGCAAACCCAATCACACTGAGTCTGCTCAACGCAGCAGTAGTGGCCACTCACAGGTACGGACACGGGTCCTGGGCCTGGGCATTCTCAGGTAAGGACACAGGTCCTGGCCTGGCTGAAGGCCTGTGTGGTCTGGCACTGCCCACCTCTCTGGCCTCCCCTCGCCTCCCCATGCCCCATCGCTCTCTGGCTCCAACCCCTCCAGCCTTCTCTCTCAGAATCCCATTTTTCCTACCACAGGGCCTTTGCACAGGCTGTGCCCTCAGCCTGAAACACTTCCCTCTCATCTTTGCCCGATTATCTCCTCCCCTCTCTAGGTCCCAACCATCCATCCTGCCTTCTGGGGCAGGGGGCGGGGCTTTATTCCACCCGACACTCCCAGAGCACCACAACAACTCGTCCTTCCCAGCACCCCATCCATTGCACCTTCACATTCATGGTTTCATTGAGTCTCCCCCCTCCCCCACCCCTGCCGCCAAACCATAACTCCCTGAGGACTGAGGCTGCGTCTCCCTTGCAGCCCGGGATCCTGGCACGTGATTTGTTGACTGAATGAATGGATCTTGAGTGCTTCTCAAGTATTTCCCGAAGGGCCCCCCCCCACCCCCTCCTGGACTCAAGAGCTTGGAGGCTGTTGTCCTGCTGGGGGCCTGGGGGCAGCCTGCCAGCCCTCTGCCCACGCCCGGCCCCTGCCTCCCACGCCACCCAGCGGCCCTCCCAGCACTGGCCCCACCATGTTCATGATGGTGAGCACGTAGCTCTCGACGTGGGGCTGCCCGTGGTACTCCACCATCTTCGCATCGGCCACCACCAGGGTCTCAACCCACTTCTCCTTGCTGACTGAGCGCTGATATAGACGCCTCGGACGCTGCTGCCGCCACTGCTGCCGCTGCTGCCACCGCTCCCGCCGGGATTCCTGTTCCGGGGACGCTGTGGGCCAGACGGGTGGGGTGAGCCGCCAGCACTCGGCCCAGGGCACGTCTCGAGGGCCTCGGCGAGCCAGCTCTGGGGCAGTGGGAATAGTACTGGGATCAGAAGCAAGAGGCCTGCACTCCCACTGTGGCTCTGCCTCTGACCCTGACTTTGTCACTTCCCTTCTGTGACCCTGGGGATCCCCGACTATATATAGGAGTAAGCTGATCAGCCTCAGAAGGCGATCTCAGGGGGGCCAATGAAATGGTGGCCATGAACACAGTAAAGCACTGTGCCCCTTGACAGGAGCTCTTGGCCTTGTCCCGCCGTGTGGCTCCCCCACTGGGGTCAGTGCATCCCAGCATGTGCAGACCCTGGGCCTTAAGCCCCAGCTTGGGAGACTGACCCGGCCCAGCCCAGCCCAGTCGACCCCCTGGAGGCCTGGTGCTCAGCCCCAGGCTGACAACCAGAGAGGAGGCACACGTGTGCAGCTGCGGAAACCGAGGCCTGTTCCAGCAGAGTCCCTGGGCAATGGCAGCTTAGGAGGCTGGAGTGCCGGCGAGCGGTCCCCAAACCCCAGGAGCCTTCAGTGGGCAGCGTCTTACCTGGACTGGCCGGCACTGTGGCCACTCTGCAGAAGAGATGCTGCTGCCACGCTCTAGGTCCCCAATACTAGAGGTCAGTCATTCTGGGGTGGGACCAGAGTGAGGGGTGGGGGCGAGGCTCTTGTCTAGCTGCCCTGCTGGGGTGGGCATGGTTGGGCTTTGCCGGGACACTTGGAAACGAATGGTTGACAGAGCTGGAGGTACCAAGGCAGTGAGTGGGGAGGCAGCAGGGAGGGACCGAGCCCCAAGGTGGGGGAGACAGGTGACGGGGGCGTCCAGGGGATCAGCTGGAGCCGGCTTGACAGGCAAAGCCCTCAGGCCCGTGGCACATATGATGTGTCTGACAGCCTGTCTGTATCCCTTTGGTCCAAGCGGAGCTGGGCAAGGGGATGTTAAGAGAGGCTTCTAGAAAGGACCTCCATGCCCCGGGCCCACCACCTGCCTTGCAGCTGGCAGCAGAGGAGCATACCTTGCACCCCACAGGTGCCTGGAACCCTGGAGTGGCCCCGCTCGGCCTGCCTCTTGGGGGCTTGGCGCTTGTACACCACATGGGGCTGGGCACGGTCGGGCCGGGCCCGGACACCTTCTAGGGGCTCGATGAAGTAGTCCTCGTCGGAGAGCTGGAACACACCTTTCTGGGAAGAAAGTCCAGGTCACCTGGGGAGGGCTGGCCCTCTGCGGCTCTTCCCGTCTGTCCTGCCCAGCTGAGCCCATGCTGCTCCCACCCCCTGGCTGAGTCTGGATGCACAGGGCTTTTGTCCAGCTGTGCCCTATGCCTGGGACGTCCTTCCTGCCACTTCACACAGCCACAGGCCTCAGGGCTGACACTGCTGCACCCCACTAGGAGCAAGTAATAGGTCTACATCCAAATCTACAGTGGTGTCTTCCACGTAGTCCCAGATAGCCATGCTGAGCTGGGCAGCCAACCCGTGCCCTGGCCTCCAGGCCATTCTGCCTCACCTTTGGAGATGCCCACGGCCACCAGGACATCCTATTGCCTGGTCCCAGGGCCTGCCAGAGAAGGGAAACTGACACCCCAAAGCAAGAGGAGCTCAGCTGCTTTCTGAGCTCCTTAGGCTGCACACACCACAAACACTCGTTCTCAAAGTGGGTGTCTGGATCTGCAGCTCCAACGTGAAACCGTCAGAAATGCAAGTTTCGAGCCTCACCAGGACCTACCCTACGGGACACTGTTTTACCGCGGCCTGCGGATGATTCTGGCTCACACTGAAGTTTGGGAACCCCGTCCTACATGACAAGGAGGCCTATGTTGTCACTCGCATTTTACAGGCATGCGTGCTGAGGCTCCCGGATTAGATGCAAATTGGCAGAGGCCACCAGGTGAGAAGCTGGGCACTCACCAGGCCGTCGCAGGCGCTGATGGCAGCCAGACCGCCCTCCAGCTCAGGGTCCTGCACCTCGCCCAGCAGGTGGCAGGCTGGCGCGTGCGTGCGGATGTGCGCGCGCCCCAGGCCGCCGCGCCGGCGCGTCTCGCTCACGAAGCTGGGCGCCAGCAGGTGCGTGTTGGCCGCCAGGTGGAAGCGCAGTGCGCGCCCGCGGAACTGCAGCTCGTAGAAGGCGCGCGTGGCACGGCGCGCGGACACGGCCCTCTTGCGCAGCGCGCGCGGCCACAGCTCGTAGGACAGGAAGGCGCCCCCCGCGTCCACGCGCACCGGGTGCACGATGTCCAGGGCTGTTCGGCCCTCCGCCGCTGGCCCTGCGGGGAGAAAACCGTGCAGTCGCCAGAAACCAGTGTGAAGCAGCCAAGGTCAGAGGGCGGGGACTCACATCGTCGCTGCGCCTCCCACTAGCTCTGCTGTTTCACCTCTCCGTGCCTCGGTTTCTCCATCTGGGCTATGGCAGTAACCTCTTTATTATTATTATTATTATTATTAAGATTTTATTGGGGAGTTGGGGGAGGGGAACAGACAAGTTGCTGTCCTTTTGTTCTTCAGTCTAGTTGTGCAGGACGTTGCCTCACTGGCCCAAGTTGGTATTATCATTGTGCTCTTCCCGGCTGAGGCAGTTACTCACCGCCATTGGCCCGCTGCCCACTAGAGGCTCAGGGCAGCTCAGGAAAGCTCATGCCAGCTGCCGGCCAGCCCCACTATAGCCTATGCTGTCACCGGCGACACATGACAGCCCAGCTCCAGGTCGAGCTGTTGTTCACCATCTTAGCTGTAGAGGACGCAGCGTCACTGGCCCCCATGTGCGATCCAAACCAGGGCCCGTCCCAACTCCTAACCAACGCGCCACTCAGAGGCCCCGTGGCAGTAACCTCTTAACAGGCTTCCCAGCTTCCATTACTGCCCACCTTGTGGGCCCTGCCCCAAACCCGTCACATCATGGCTTTCCTCTGCCCCAAACCTTGCAGTGCTCCCATCTCACTCGGAGCCCAGCCTAAAGCTCCATGCTGGCCAGGCTGCAGATACCCAGGTCTCCTTCAGTCTGTCCTCTGCCAGACCACATGCAGAGTGCCCTGCACACACCAGTGGGGTGCCCCCCACTGAGGACACCCGCCATGGTTCGCGACCAACCGCCGCCCCTCAGGACATTCCTTCAAGACAATGCCAGGGGAGTCAGGGGACAGGACAGGCTGGGACAACTTGCTGTGTGGCTCTGGGCAAATCTTCCCGGAGGGCACCAGTGCAAGGATTTTCCACACTCCTCAGATAAGAATTTGTTAAAAACAAATCGCCAGGCCGGGTCCCAGAAGCACTGATTCAGCATCTCCAGGAAACGGACTAGGAAGCTGCGTTTTGACCCAGAGCCTCCGGGAAGTTGGGAAATTCCCCACTGGTAGTGAACCTGGCTGAACTTCTGGCAGCACCTGGAGAGTGGCGAAAGGCGGCGGGTGCCCAGGACCAGCCCAGAGAGCTGACCCCGCACAGACGGCGTTTTCGGCATTTTTCTAAACGTTCCGGGGATTCTGATGTAGCCACCTTGGGAGAGCCATTTGGAAGGCACGGAGCTGGATAATGGAAGGAGACTTCTTGCTCTGACACCCTGATAAAGCATTTGGGGTTGCAGCCCCACAACTACAGCCTGCAGGCTTGTTTTTTGTTTGTCAGTTCTTTGATTTTGGGGACGGGGCGGGGGCGGTATCTATTGTGTCTAATACAAATACTGAAAAACATTTCATCAGTCATCAATATTTGAAAATTACATGATCTTGTACAGAAATCTCTATTTTCAGCTTTCCTTGAAAAGCCTTATCATCCATCCACATCAGGCCTGAATTCCCACTCTTCAGAAGTGGTCCTTCAGACGCCTGGGCCCCCGCCTGCCTCAGTCTCCACTCCTGCCCTGCGCCCAGTGCTGTACTTCATTATAGGTTGCCCTCTGGCTTCATGCTTGTATTTCACTCAGTAAAGAAATACAAAAATGGGAAAACGAGAGGTGGGCCAAGAGGCCCCATGGTTCCAGAAAATGCCTCCCACCAGCCGTTTGTTCATTTCTGTCACCTGCCTGGCCCACGGCATTCAGTGTCATGAGGGACTGTGAGGCACCCCAAAGTCCAGGAAAATGGATAAGACCCCATCCTTGCCTCACAACAGAGAAATGGGTGCAGGGCCAGCACCATGCGAGGGGTCGGGGATGCAGAAGATAGACTAGGATGAAGAAGAGCTCCGCCAAAGGGGTCACATGTGAGGTTTCCTTTGTGGTAAGGTACATGTCTACCCGTGAAGGTGAGAAGGGCATCTTGGTGGTGGACCCCAGAGCTCAAAAAAAGTCCCTGAAGAGAGACCCATGTGAGTGAGACGTGCAGTCCTGTTGAGAACCCCAGGTTCTAGACCTTGGGCCAACACTGCAAGACAAAAATTCAAGGTGAGTTGTAAAGAAACAGCCTAATAAGTTCAAGAATGTGACAGAGGCCCAGGAGAAATGTGCTGCAGGTAAAAGTCAGTCTGCCTGGGTAAAGCATCTCAGCTCTGCCACCCACAGCTGTGAACCCATGGGTAGATGCCTCCGCCACTCAGAGCCTCAGTTTCTCCATCTGTAAAATGGGTATGACAGTCATACCTATTCTCTTAGGTTGTGTGAGAATTAAATGAGTTCATATGTAAGTGCTTAGAAGAGGAGATGGCACATCGCAAGTGTGAGGTAAGTATGACTAAAGTTAGCAAGAGAAGTTCTACAACATACTTAGCTATTTCTTTAAAAACCTGTTTTATCGCCTTGCCTAATGGCTTAATGAAATGATTTCTAAATCAAAAAGGGAAAAATTAAGACTACCAGGATGTTACCAATTTTATTGCAATATTTTTATGTTGTTTTATTCTGCAGTAATTTTTAAAATAATCAACCTGTATATTGTTTTAAAATATTTTTAAAGGAGGGCAGAGTGAGTTAAAAGGTAAACCCCTCTTTCGGTGTCTCCCACAGCTGACCCCTGGTGGGAGTGCCAGCAGCGAGTATTGCAGGTTGCAGTCTAGAATGGCTCCTGGTGCATCTGGCCGGTGTCACAGAGCAGTCACTTTGTAGCTTCTACCAGAGAAACACCAGCATGGTGTACCCTCACCTCCCTATCAAGAACCTGCGTTATAATCCAGCCCTTCAAACAACTCGACCTGCAGCTCATGCCAAAGAGAAAAAATAACCAGGTGAGTGTGTGTGTGTGTGTGTGTGTGTGTGACATATGCCCTCCTCCTCCTCAGGTCCGTCTGCATGTGCCTGATATGCATGTATGTACAGGCACACAGAGTTCACATGTGCAATTCAGTGTTTTGGTGCGGACATTGCCAGATCCCAGTCTCAGCAACCCCAAGTCCCTTGGTTTATCACATTTACCTAAGAGTGAGCCCAAGTTGTGCTCTTTGGTCCCAAAGGAGGTACCATTTAATGGGCAGAGAGCCCCCAGGGTAGGTCTCCCAGGCAGCGCCAAAGAAAATGATAGAGAGTTCAGTGGCTTGGGGTCAGGGATGCTGAGTGGGAGCAAAATGGGAAGGGCCCCCTGCTACATATCTATGGGGACACCTGATACAGGCACTCTATCCTGGGTGGGGGGCCCAGGTGAGATGGGGGAGGTGCCTGCCCTGCCTCCACCCCCAAATGGCAGATTCAAGTCACAGGACTCACCAAGGACTCCTTAATCTTACTGGGTCTGCCTGGCAGATTAAAAATAACAGCCACCACATGTAGGTCACTCTGCCTAGGGGGCTGAGCCACTGACACTCAGCATGTCACTTAATCCTCACAAGAACCTTCCAGGTAGATGCCCATTTAGGAGGATGGCCAAGCTCAAGCATGGGTCTAGCTTGCAATGGAAGTGGGGAGGGCCCTGACCACCTGGGATGCCCCCATTCCTCCCACAGCTTCCAGGGGACCTGGACCCAAGTTCAGGCTCCCAGGCAGCTCCCCTGGGAAAGCACTTTCCTGCTCGGGAATCCCCATCACCTGGTTCACCCTCATCCGGCTCAGGGCAGCCCAGGAGAGACTCCTTGCATATTGCCTCGCCTGGTTGTTGTGGAGCTTATGAGAAGAACTAGGGCGGCTGGCACATACTACATGCTCATTAAATGCGCTCCTGCTCACAAAACTCCCTAAAACACTGCTCTCTTCAGCTACTCCCCTCACCAGCTCCCCTCAAACCTCTGACATCTGGCTTCGGTGCCCACTGCATTCCGGCCCAGACACTTTTCCAGTCTTACAAGCACAACCTCTCTAGTGGGGAGCAGGTCTCTTCCATTCCCAGCACGCCGGCCTAATCCAGCCCCCACCCCCTGCACACCCAAAGTTCATCGTCCTCCAGTCCCCGCAAGCTCGGGCCCTCCTCCCCTACAGAGAGCCTCCCCGACTGCTTAGCACGGTTCTCCCCACTGTCCCACCGGCCTGCATCAGACCAGGAGCTCCCCAAGCGCAGAACCAGGGGTCCCCTACACCTCCGGCTTCTAAATCCCCAGGCCCGCTGCTCGGGACCAGCCAGGAGCTCCGCCGCCAGAGGCTCATCCGAGGCCCCGCCGGGCGGGGCGCCGCTCGGCTCCCGCGCCTTCGCACTCGGGGAAGGGGGAGGCAGGAAGTGCCGGGCCGCGCGAGACCGGACCCCGCGCCGAGGGCCCGCGGGCAGTTCCGAGGCGGTGGGCTGGCGGCTGGCGGCGCGGTTGAGGGGGTCGAGCGGAACTGCGACCGGGGCCCCTCGCCGGCAGCGCCCTGCTGCCCGCTTTCCAGCCCAGGCGCACCAAGGAGGGTGAGAAGCCGACCCCTGTGCATCTAGACCGCGCTCGGTCCAGCCTCTCTCAGGCGAGAGACCCCGGGAGGGACGCGCGCTCTTGCGCCCGAGGTGGGGACACTGGAGCTCGAAGAGCAGAGGGACTTCTTCCCGGCCACAAGCAGAACCTATGGCGGAGAGCGAGCTCGGGACCACCCAGACTCTCACTCCGGTCCTTACACCCTGGGGGCGGTGGGCACGGGGTCTGCGGAGACAGGGGCCGAGCCGAGGCTAGGGATCGGGGCGGCCACCCACCTGATGCGAATCCGGGGGCGCCAGGCGCCAGCGCGCAGAGCAGCAGGAGCAGGGGGCGCAGCGGCGCGGGGCTGCAGGGGGCGCGGGGGCCCGGGCCGGGCATGCCGGCCACTCCGTGCGCTCGTCCGCGCGTCTGCTCCTGCTCGGTCCCGGGTCCGGCTCAGGACATGCCCGGCAGCAGCGCGCGTGCTGCTTCGGGTCCCGGCCGGACTCGGCCCGCGCTTAACAAAGGCTGTAGGGCCCGCCCCCCAGCAGCCTCGGAGGCGAAGAAAAGACCGGGGAGAGAAAAGGGGCGAAAGAAAGGAGGGAGGTGGGAGGGAGGGAGGGGCGCGTCCGCCGGCCCCCGCCCCGCCCCAGGCTCCTGCTCCCGCCCCGGCCAGTCGCGCCCCTCCCGCCGGCCTCTCCGGCCTCTCCGGCCTCTCCCTCCCGGCCTCGCCGCAGCTCCCAGGGCAGTGCGCGGGCAGCACCGGGACTGATACCCGACGGCCTGCTGTGTCCAAGGACGCCCTCTGGCGGTGGAGCCGAGCAGGGCTTTCCCGGCCTGGGTCCTCGGAGACCCCCCCCCCCAAAAGAATCTGGAATTTCTGGAATTCCTGCCTCGACCCCGAACTGTGCTCGAGGAGACGCCTCTCAGCGTGCGCCCTGGCCCGGCAGGCCTGCCCCTTTAAGGAAAGGACCACGGGGGCCTCCCGAGGGTCCAGGGTTTCGCAGCTGGGCAGTAGGGACCCCAGGGTCCCAAAGTGAATTCTGCTCCAAGGCCCTCCAGAGAGAGGCCTGGCCTTGCCCCAGCCCCAGCGGGCAACCATTTCCCACACAAGGCAGGTCCGCAGTGCTTCGTGTGCAAGCGTGTCTGCGTGGGGCAAGGCTGGCGCCCGCAGACTCTCAGCAGAGGCCCCCTGGGAGCCTGGAGGCTAGCCAACACCATCCTCACTTCCCAGGGCAGCCTCAGCCTCAGCCTCAAAACCTGGCCCCAGCCCTGCCTCTGGCTTCCTGCTTTCTAACCCCCTATGCTCTCAGGAGCCCCTCCAAGGAACACCCAACCTCCACGTCCTGCCCATCACAAAGCATGACTCTGCCAGGGGGACCCCTCTCCTGTTCCTCAGGACGGCTGTGGTCAGCTGCACCGTGCTGACCTTTGGCAGTGCCGCAGGGTAGCCCTGCCCTCTGAGACCCTCGTTGTCCAGCCTCCCATGCACTTCCCCTCATTCCTGGAAACTCCACCCCAAGCCCCGCTGCCCTCCTGGGGACCCATGAGTACATGGCCACTCAGTTCCTTGGCCTCCTCCTCTGCAGTGGCCTTTCACTCCACCTCAGCCATCAACGCTCAGGGCCCCAGCCTAGTAGGCTGTGCTGTCCCCAACTGCCCCACCTCTGAAACCTGAAAACCAGGTGTCCTACTCTCAGACCTGACCCTGCTGCCTTTCCTGGACTGCAGGAACCCTCACAATCACATCATGTATTTTTCTTCCTCCAGTTCCTTGTCACCTCACTCTGCTCACCCCTATCAGCTCCCCCTGGCTTCACCAGCTCCCCTCCCTAGCTAGTCACCGCCCCATCCCTGGCACCTACCTCGCCACCTTCCATTCCTCCCTGCGCCTAACAGCAGGTGGCCTTCCTGCCCGGTGTCAGGGACAATTCAGACCACCACATCCTGCCACACACACCTCCACCTGTGCACCAAGCATCTGGAAGTGGCAGCTGCGAATTTCTCTCCCTCTGGATACAATGAAGCAGCACCCACACTCCAGCAATCAGAGATGGATGCTTCCACCAGGACTGTGCACCCCCTGCCTCCCGAAGGACCCCGCTGTCAGTGTCCCCTCTTTCCTTGGTCCCCCCTGGCTCCTAACCCTCACACTAAAAACATCCTGGGCTCCTCCTATTAAAGATACTGACAATACCCCTCCATGTACAGGTGGCCCCTCTAGTTTCCGCCCCACACAGACACAGGCAGCCAGCCACTAACCCAGTCACGTGCACGCTGTGCGTTTCCACTGATAAGAAACACAAAAACTTACCAAGCTAATGAGCGCTGATGGAAGTGAGGCTAGTGGTTCCCCTGGGAAGTGGAGGGGAGGGACTAACGGGGCCTGAGGGGCTTCTGGGGATGCGGCATCTTGATGTGGTTAGTTACATGGGTGTGTTCATCAGGCTCTGCGCTCATGACACGTGGGCATGTATATGTGGATATCACATTTCATTTCAAAGTTTTGCTTTACCTAGGGTGACGTGAGGGTGACAGAAGTGGGACTTGGTGATATAGGTGGGACGGTCAAGGAGGACTTCTCCAAGGAGGTAACATTTCATCTGAGACCCTGCGTGAGAGGCAGTCTTGGGACACACTGGCGGGAAGCCCTCCAAGCAAGTGCTAAGTCTTGGAGGCAAGACAAAGCTCGGTGCCCTCGAAGGACAGCAGAGGCCCACGGGGTGGAGCCAGGACAGCATGGTGTGGGGGCGAGTGGGCTAACAGATGAGGTCAGAGAGGGGAGCAGGTGTCATGTGAGGCAAGACCTCATGGTCAGGTAAGGAGAGAGGATTTTATTCTAAATGGGATAGGATGTCAGGGAGGGTTTTAATCAGGGGTATGCTGTGGTCTGACTCACCTTCCAACTGCTGAGGTGAGAAGAGGTCCTGGGCTGAAGTGTCCCACAAGTCACTCATGAACGAAGGAAGACAGGACACACACATGGAACTCTCAGTGTGAGATCTACAGGGGCTTTTCAGACCCTTTTTCAGGTGAGGAGACAGAGACCAGAGAGGGCAAGTCACTTGCCCAAAATCACACAGCAAGTTAGTGGCCAGGGGAGCAGAGACTAGAACCCAGTTCCACCTGATACTCGGTGACATCACAGTAAATGTTCATCTCATCTAATATTCAAACTATATTCAAATTTCCCTAGTTGACCCCGCCAAATCTCTGTTACGGCCGGTTTACCCCGAACAGTGTTCAATCCAGGGGCACCTATTGTGTCTGATTATTATGGCTCTGTGTCTCTTGTAATTTAGCTAAAGTCATTTCCAAAACTATAATACTTGTTGAAGACACCAGGCCAGTTGTCTTCCAAAATATCCCATCTTCTGATATTGTGTCATTGCTTCCTTGGGGTGTCACTCATCTGTTTCCTTGTCCCTCTTTATTTCCTGTGGAACATGTTTTGCCTAGAATAAACAAAAATAAACAATTACCGTTGATGGGGTGTACTTCCTAGGTCACTACTGAAGACACGCTGCCTTGCTGAAGAGGAGTAAGCCACTAGCAAAACTCAGGTGACTTTTTCAGTACGGGTCGTGACAGCCCCATGCCTCCTTTACACAGTGAGATTGTCCTCCTTGCATCTAGGAAGTAACATGTGTGGTGTTAATTTTTCCCCGTGTGAATATCCAGTTCCTCACCAACTATTAGTGGAGTGGCTTAGCCAGTTGATAATCCTCACTTGTAAGGGTATGGCAAATTATGCTTTTTCTAATCCTACATGTTTTTGTTTTTGTTTTTCCCACAAAGTAGAGCACTCCCTCATCAACTGGGAACTATAGTTCCTGTTGGGAAAGTTTTAATTAGAAAAACTATAATTACAAAATTATAGTTCCTTTTACTAAATCTCTAATTTTTCGTTTTCATGGGGACAGGCTTGAAATAACGTCCCTTCCCACACCGAGGTGCTATCAGTCTATGGGATAAATGTCTTCCCCTTTCAGTGTTGTGTGTGAGCAAACGCCATGCGGTATTTTCAATTTATGTCAGAGCCTGCTTTAGCTTTTCAATCATCTGTTGTGTGAACAATAGGGGCATGGCTGCGTTGAGCCACCGTCGGGCCCTAGAAATACCCCAGGAACCTCAAGCCACACGGGGCTCAGAGGCCAGCTTTGTAAGCCATGCTCTGGACTCCAGGCTTCTCTAAATGGACTCAGGACATTCCTACTTGTGCATTGGGCACGCAGGTGTCGGGACACCCTCTGTGCGCGCGACAGGCGTGCACTTCGCCCGGGATCTCTGGGTGAACTGGACGGCCCCGCTGGCATCCGGTCTCTGCCCGGGTCTAGGACCACCTGCACCCGCCGCTCCCCCGCTGACCGATAGAGGGCCGTTTGTACATTTTACTGAACAGTCTACAGTTTGTGCGCGCACAGAACTAGACATGAAACGCACATTTGAAAGTAGTGAAAAACTTTACCCCAAAAAATTATGAAAAAAATAATTAGTGCAAAAAGTTAGCTTCAGAGCAAATTAAAATAATCTTATGCCTTTGAAATGATCTAGAAAAGAGGGTGATTCCTGACTGCCCGGCTAGCTCAGTCGGTAGAGCATGGGACTCTTAATCCCAGGGTCGTGGGTTCGAGCCCCACGTTGGGCGGCTTGCGTTGTTTTGTTTTTCCAGTTGCGTCTTAGGTCTCGTCAGCGGTAATCGTTTTAGCAGCTTCAGTTCTCGTCAGTGGTAATAACGGACTTCAATCTGGAGTTTCTTATTTTCAAACAACACAGGACAAAAAGCTATTAAGATTGAACGGATTACAAGAGAGAACTATGCAACTGTAAGGCAATTTCATCTTATAAATACACAGTTAAAGGCTATCTGGTGCAGGGAAATATTTGTTACTGAGTGGTCTGTTGAAGGGCAGTGGAGTGCCAAAGGTCAGGGAATAAGCAGACGGGAAAAACAGTGAAATTGTGGCGTTCATAAATATTGCTGAGGAGATCGCTGTTAAAACGTTTGAATTAACACTGAATTAGCAATATTGAAGGTTAGTTTGGAGATCAGCTCTGCTTCACAGGGTTTACTGTGCATATGAATTTCATATTTGTAAATTCCTTTAAGTAGGGGCTAGTGATTATTATGGGCTGTTTAAACCACTATAATATTGTTAGCTAGTCAGGTGGCTCTTGTAAACAGACCCTTAGGACTTTTTTATCCTTTGTTTTCCCTAAGTTAGTAATTCAAACTGAAAATTTTTCCTTTGGTCATTTTTGTCTTAAAACATATCTCAAAACAAGTAATTGTATTTTCCTACATGTTTTCCTAAAAGAACTCAATTTCTAAGGGCAAAACTTTGCTTTTATGTTAACATCTGCAAATTCTTTCCTTGTCTTATTTTCCATCAGCCTCAGTAATTCTCAAGCATTCTCCACAATTACCATATGTTACTATCATCAATTCAAACACAATTGCAGACTTTGGAAGAAACACATGGCAATTTTCAGCATCAAAAATGAAGATCCCTAAATGCCCCTATTATTACAGAGCAGTACTTCATCTCTAGGTGATGGGAGGTGAAGTAGGAGCTTTCCAAAGGCAACCCATGGCAGAGAAGCGAGAAGCGCCAACTGGTAAGCTGATGAGAAGTCAGTGAAGATATCACACACCCATTTCAAATTGAAGATCAGTGTTATGGGTTGGAGCGTGTCCCCCTAAAATTCATATGTAGACTTCCTAACCGCTAGTGCCTCAGAACGTGACCTTATTTGGAAATAAGGTCATTGTAGATACAATTAGTTAGATGTGGTCAGAGTGGAGTAGAATGGGCCCCTAATCCAGTTTGACTGTTGTCTTTATATAAAGGGGAAATTTGGAGACAGACTCACAGGAGAGCGATATGTGAAGATGAAGGCAGAGGTCGGGGTGATGCTTCTACAAGCCAAGGAAGCCAGAGACGGCCAGCAACCACCGGAAGTGGGGAGGGGCATCGAACAGCTTCTCCCTCACAGGGTCAAACCGAACCAACTCTGCTGACATTTTGATGTTGGACTTCTAGCATCCAGAATTGTAAGACAATACATTTGTTGTGTAAGCCACCCAGTTTGTGGGACTCTGTTATTGTAGCCCCGGAAAACTGATATTGTCACTGGTGCAGGGGTCCTTGCCCCTCTCAGGATAGAAATCAAAGAGTGGGTGAAGTAGTTTTGCAGAGAGAAAGGTTTATTACAGTGAAAGCTTGATGCACCGAGGGAGCACACGCCAAAAGAGAATGGATGTGGCTCCCCGAGGTTTACAGGTACCGCAGGTTTCTAGGCTCTTGGGGTTGGGGGCCACTCCTTCCTTTCCCCCTCCACCCCCCAAAGTTTGTTGACGCGGGTCCTTCCCTGAACCTGTGCAGTGTACCTACCTACACGCGCTACTTCATTGCATGTTTCATTACCATCCTAAATCTCCGCCTGTTTTTTTTTTTAATGTGATAATGAGGAAAAGTTAACTATAGAACAGCTCTTTTAATTAATGTGAATGCACTACTTTAGAAACACTCCCTGGGCCACTCATCTCTCCTGTGATTATGGTTCTGTTGGCTCCTTGTTTCTTATTGGCCTGCGATGTGTCTCAAGGTTTTTCTCTCCAGCTACAGACTCCGGCCACGTGACCACCGACTACACTATGATCAATGTTCTATTGGGAGGCAATTTTGATTTTAATGTTTTTATACCTTACATTAAGTAATTGTTATCTCCATTTCATTTCATTTCAAAAGCCTTAGGAAAAGCACTGGTTTTGTTTCGATATTGGGGGAATGGGCAGATAAGGGACTGAGGTGGGAAAGGAACTTTTCACTGTCTTCATTTTTATATTTTTAAAACTATGGATTATTATTATTATTTTAAAAATATTTTTTATTGGGGGAATTGGGGGAATTAGGGGATGGGAACAGCGCTGGGGAATTGGGGGGAGGGGAACAGACAAGTTGCTGTCGTTTTGTTCTTCAATCTAGTTGTGGAGGACGTTGCTTTGCTGGCCCAAGTTGGCACCATCATTGCACTCTTCCCAGGCGAGGCAGGTCAGTCGCCAGCTTCTGGATAGCTGCTTCCAGCGGCTGCTGGCCACTCACGCTGGCTGCTGGCTACACACGGTAGCCCATGGCAACCCACTGCAGCAGGGGCTGCAGCCTATGCCGTGGCAGACGACTCACGCTGGCTGCTGGCTACATATGGCAGCCCATGGCAACCCACTGCCACAGGGGCTGCAGCCTATGCCGTTGCCGGCGACTCATGGCAGCCCAGCTCCAGGTTGAGCTGTTGTTCAGCATCTTAGCTGTAGAGGGCAGTGTCACTGGCCCTCATATGTGGGATCCGAACCGGCACTCTGGGGTCCCAAGCCAGCTCTTAACCAATGCACCACTCGGCTGGTCCTGGATTATTATTGAATTAGAATTATTTTGGAGTATTTTGTGTTCAAAAAATGAAGTGTACTGGGCAGTTTTGGTGCAGTGGGGGTCCCAGAGGCCCTTGCCTCGTTCTTTGATACTCTGTGGACTAGGACAGACAAGATGGTGTATAGACAACCGGAACGAGGGGTTCTTTGTGGGTATCTGTGTTCAGGGAAGGGCTTGTGTTAGGAGGGAGATTGAAGGAGAAATAGAGGAGTCAGAGAAATGGAGAGCGGTCTGCAGTTGGTGGGGTGCGCAGCAGTTCAGGGTTGGAAAGCCATGGATACAAGCCCTAAGGCCTGGGGGATGTTGGGGGCCTTCGGTGGAATGGCTTTGGGGCTGATTATCCCGCACGTTTGTCGAGGGCGGAAGTCACTGTTAGACGCTCAGCCTTTTCGTGCAATTCTCATAATAAGTCGCTTTGGCAGCTGAGCAAACTAAGGCCTATTGAACAGGGGAACAGCGTGTGTACATTCAGTGATAGCTCACAGAAGCTTGACAAAAGGGCTGCACACGTGGGGCGGTGAGGCACCCGACTGGGAGGGGGCTACAGGTCGTTCTTCCGCTCGGCCTACTTCCATGGCAGGCAGCGCTCCCTGTCTCCTGCATCCCGCCGGGCGGGCTCTTCCCCCGGGATCCGGAAGCCACGTGGGCTGGCAGTGAGCTCGCAGACTGTGGCCGGCCCGCGGGCCCCAACGTTGCCCCACGCACGCGGACGCCCCTAGAGATGCCGTTGGAAGTACGGAACGTGTTCAGACAGACGCATCTTTCCTCGCAGGCCTCTCACGCCACACCCTGGGGGCCCGTGTCGCCCGTGGGGCTGCACACTGGGCCTTTCCCGCGCTTTATCGTTTGCGAGACACCGCCTCCAGCGGCGCGCCCCGACACAGCCCAAAATCCATCCGGGTTTCGCCAACCCCAGGGGGTGAAGGATGGGGGTGGGGGTGGGAGGAGCGCCACTCTCCGCGCGCACACCGCCCGGAACTACAGCTCCCGGCGTGCCCCTGGCGGCGCGGCACAGGGCGCGTGCGCGGTGGGCGGCGGTTGGCAGGGGCGGCTGCGCAGTCGCGACTCGGTGAGGTGTGCGGGCGCCGGCAAATAGCGCCCGGGATTCAGAGCTGGCGCTGCCCACGGCGTCTGACGCGGAGCTGGGTGGGCTGGAGAGTGGGGGGCGGTAGTCCGAGTGGTGGGAGAAGGAGGAGGCGGCGGCGAATCCCTATAAATGGCGCCGAAGCAGGACCCGAAGCCTAAATTCCAGGAGGGTGAGTGTGGGCCTTGGGAGCGGCACCTAACGGCGGCGGGGCGGGCGCGGCGCGGCGGGGATGCGGGCGGGCCGAGCGGGGCTTTGTGTGGAGGCGCATTGCGGCGGGGATTGGGTGCGGCCCGGGGAGGGCGCTTTGTGCAGCGAAGGCGCTCCGCGGGCGCGGCGGAGCCTCCCTCGGCGTGTGGCGTTCGGGGGCGGCGGCGGCGGGGGCAGGA